CATAAATTTTGCATTGGTGTGATGTTGGACTATAGACTGAGGGTTGTTGAAAGATTCAGCCTATTAGATTTGTGATGTCATCAATAATAAAACTGTTGCTGAGATTGCTGGCTTGCATGAGTAGCCATCTGGTGAGCATTCTCTAAATTATAAAAACAATGTTTTCCTGCTTGGCCTGGGTGCTTAGGTGTGACATTCCTCTTCAGGATGGCAGCAAGATAACTTGGAATTTTTAGATAACCTCTCCCGTGAGCACCCTTGAGCCACAAACACGGTGCTCGGATAGCGTGTGTCACATTGGGAGGCAGTCTTCCCTGCACTAGTGCCCTTCACAGGCTGTGAGCTCTGGGAATGTGGGTATGTTTCCTTGGACTCCCAAGTGTCTGGCATGCAAGCTAGAGAATAGAAGATGCTTGGTATGTATTTATACAATAAACAGTAGAAAAAGTGAGAGATGTTGCTATGAAAAGCTCCCTTAATGATATATTTGGGAATGGAAGTGGATAGATTAATTGAAAATGTCTGTTAATCAGTATTTATAAAAATGGATTCATTTGTAACATGAATATTTCAATTTTACCTATAATTCATTCAGTATAATAGACCGAGACTGTGGAACATTTGTTTGTGTGGGGTTCAGCAAATAGAATTCTACTCTGTCTGGTTGAAAGCATATCTATCAATCATTGTCAGTGATGTGCAGTTTGAATTAGTTTAAGGGTAGATCTTCGCATCAGACGCATAGCATTCTGTTTTAGTAAATCATTCTATATTGCTCATTTTTGTGTTAATCTGTGGCATTGGAAGACTCACACCTACGGAACTAACGGTAATTTTGGAACATGCTTTCATTGTTCATTTAAGCATTCCGATTAGTTTTTATGGAAACTGCAGTTCTTCTTTCATACTCTTTTTTCATTGATCTGTGCTGTATTTTGATAAATTAGGTAATTATACTGAGAAGCCTAATTGGCAAAAGCAGGACAGGAAACAGATCCAATTGGTTCTTGTGAGGCTGATGACTCAGTGCCCTTGTGCCCAGATGTACAGGAGCATCAGTAAATGGCCACGAAGGCTCAGCATTTGCTCAAAATCAGTCAGTATATTTTCTTCCTGAAGAGGAAGGGATTGGTTATAGAGATAGAATGTATTAGTGAGAGACTTATTTGAAAGGTGTTTGCTTTTATGTAGAATTAGCACAGTGCCTGATGTATTATGATTGAATGTTTGTTGAATTCATGCCTAAAATATAGTCATGAATTGCAACTCCTGAGTACCAAGAGAGACTTTCATGCATTTTCTCATTTTCTGGAGAACATTCCTGGATGTACTGCATGCTCTTTCTTTATATGAAACCAAGATTAAATAATATCAATGACCTTGGAAAGAAGGCAACTCAGGAGCAGATTCCTGCATCCCCTCTATTCTTCTTCCCAGAGGCAGTGAGCACACCTGCAATGAGAGGGAACAGCTGTTCTCAGAATGACCAACGGCAGAGGACACTCTGTTAAGTGGGAGGTGCCTGTAGGAGTTCCAGTGAGACCTGGTAACTGAGCTAGCCCTTTGCAAGATGCTGGATGACCCTGTGATTTTCAGGTGGGAGCTACTTAAAAAAATATTTACCAAACATCTTCTAAATTCCACATCTAATCTGTTGCACTAGAAATTCAAAGACATGATCCCTATTCTAAAAGACCTCAGAGTGCAGTTGAAGAGAAATATGTGAGAAAAAGTAATTCAAGTGCACTGTTATGAGTGCTGAGATTGAGCAATGTGTGAGTTCAAGTGAGTTCAGATTGGGCTTCAGGGACAGAATCTAAGCTCTCATGAAGTTGAAGCTTTCTTCTGTCAAAAGAGAAAGAATGCCACTGACATCAAAATAAGCAGTTTTTCAAGTGAGGAACAAAATTATTTGATTCAATTGCCAGGCAAAAATTCTGTACATAATTCCTCATGATAGACAACATCTTTAGCCAAAACGGTACAATTGATGTCACAGACTCCCAGAGTGGACTCTCCCAATAACCCTCAGTGTGAACGAAAGACACCACATCAAAGCTCCTGACCTGAACCATTGGCTGCAAACACTGCCTTCCTGCTTATAGGAAACCCTCACCTACAGCCACATCCTATCCATTTGGAAATTGAGAGTGGACAGATTGGATCAGCATCAGCAGAGTGCTGGGCCTGGAAGAGCAAAGGATCTGAACTCTGGGGACTTGAGTTCAACATTGTGAACAGTGTGATAAGCACCACCAATAAATTTGGTTAGACTCTGGAAAGAGTATAGACTATCTCTCTCTCTCTCTCTCTCTCTCTCTGTCTATATATATATTTAATTGCATTTTAGGTTTTGGGGTACATGTGAAGAACATGCAAGTTTGTGGCATAGATACATACATGGCAATGTGGTTTGCTGCCTTCCTCCCCATCACCTATATCTGGCATTTCTCCCCATGTTCTCTCTCCCCAACTCCCCACCGCTGCTGTCCCTCCCCTAGTTCCCCCGCATAGACCCCAGTGTGTGATGCTTCCTTCCCTGTGTCCATGTGTTCTCATTGTTCAACACCCTCCTATGAGTGAGAACATGCAGTGTTTGATTTTCTGTTCTTGTGTCAAGAACAAGAACTGAGAATGATGGTTTCCAGGTTTATCCATGTCCCTACAAAGGGCATGAATTCATTGTTTTTTATGGCTGCATAGTATTCCATGGTGTATATGTGCCACATTTTCCCTGTACAGTCTATCATTGATGGGCATTTGGGTTGGTTCCAAGTCTTTGCTATTGTAAACAGTGTTGCAGTGAACATTTGTGTGCATGTGTCCTTATGATAGAACAATTTATAATCCTTCGGATATATACCCAGCAATGGGATTGCTGGGTCAAATGGAATTTCTATTTCTAGGTCCTTGAGGAATCGCCACACTGTCTTCCACAATGGTTGAACTAATTTACACTTCCACAAACAATGTAAAGTGTTCCTACTTCTCCACATCCTCTCCAGCATCTGCTGTCTCCAGATTTTTTAATGATTGCCATTCTAACTGGCGTGAGATGGTATCTCAATGTAGTTTTGATGTTTTGATTTGCATTTCTCTAATGACCAGTGATCATGAGCATTTTTTCTTATGTTTGTTTGGCCTCATATATGTCTTCTTCTTCTTCTTCTTTTTTTTTTTTTTTTGATGGAGTCTCGCTCTGTCACTCCATTACCCAGGCTGGAGTGCAGTGGCGCAATCTTGGCTCACCACAACCTCTGCCTCCTGGGTTCAAGTGATTCTCTGGCCTCAGCCTCCTGAGTAGCTGGAATCTCAGGCACACACAACCATGCCCAGCTAATTTTTGTATTTTTAGTAGAGACAGGGTTTTGCCATGTTTGTCATGCTGGCCTTGAACTCCTGACCTCGTGATCTGCCCACCTTGGCCACCCAATGTGCTGGGATTACAGGCATGAGACAGGGCACCCAGCCAGAGTATAGACTTCTTTATTGCTTTCATAGCTACTTTGTACGGTCTCCTGCATACTCAAATTGCATGTGTCAGCTCCCCTCAGTGAGGGTGAATCTGAGGTGCAGCCTCACTGTCTATGAGCAGCACAGATCCTGCTGTGATGTCACGTCTTCTCTTGGGGGTCTCTTCTGTCTGCCTGAGTTATCTGTGGAAGGGACAACCACTGGTGGAGAATAGTCCTGAATTTTGTGCTGATCCTGTTTTTATAATTAAAAGTTTTTAATTGTGGTAAAATTTACATAGCATATATTTTACAACTATAACCATTTAAAGTGTACAGTTCAGTGTCATTAAGTATGTTCAAAATAATTTGTAACTGTTACCACTGTCCCCTTTAAGAACTCTTCATTATTTCATACAGAAATTCTGTCTCGTTCAGTAATGACTACTCATTCTTTCCATCATACAGCGCCAGGATCCTTCTAATTTGTTTTCTGCATTCACGAATTTCCTAGTTTTAATACCTCATAAAATTTGAACTTACAATGTTGTTCTTTGGTTGGGCTTATATTCCTTAGCACAGTATTTCTGGTTTCATCTCTATGTCACAGTATGTATTATAATTCTATGCCAACTGTAAGTTATTATCCACATACTATAATTGACATTAGTATAGAAAGTTCAGGAGTTTTCAGTGTTGCTTCTCATGTTAATGGCTATAAAAGTAACTGAAAGTTACAGCCAGAACAATTTAGACAAACCTGGCAGTATGGAGAATTCTCCTGCAACTGAAACAATGTGTAACCAAAAATAAATGATTTCCAAGGTAATTTCCACTTTGAAACCAATATTGAGGTTTCCAATGGTCAAAATGGAACTGGTGGGGCATGTTTATGGGCTCCTCACTTGTCCATTAGGAAGAGCTAAATAAGCACTTACCAGTTCTCCAGGGGAATGGCCATGGTTATCTTTACTAGAAACCAAGGCCAACGTGTCACCATGCCATGAACAAATGACAGTAGAGGACTTCTCATAAAACTAATTTCCTAGACTGTGTTTATGAAAACAGACTTTGTCACTAAGGACACTATTTTGCTCTATATATGAGAATTCAGTGGATCATAGAGACAGCAGAATTCACTTACTCAGAATCAAGCTTCCAACTGCAGTAATGCCTCCTGTCATAGAAGGGAACATGGTTTTCAGGGGACGATAGTTTGAGGTATTAATCAGGAATTTTCCTTCTCGTTATAATCAGGTAGGAAATGAGTATGAAGAAGAGTTTTAAGGTTTTGGACAGGAACTCCTTTTATTGCAATGAAAATTGCAGAAAAAGTGTTCAGTAAGAAAGATTCAGTGTAAGATAATAGGAAAAAATGTACTGATAATATCATAGAGAATCTTAACATTGTACTGTATGACTTAATACTTTCCATGAGTGAAAACTGGAACTGTCGGGTTAGATAAACGTCTATTTGAAGGCGTTGAATTACTACTGAGACATTTCTAAGGTAGAAAGCTAAGAAAAATGCATAGAATTGTGGCAGGGCAGTGTTGCTCTCAAGTCCCGTCTGACTGACAGGGCAGAGGCTGTCTCTCACTGCCCAATCTGCTTCCTGACAGCTCCAGAGTTTCCTGAGGAAGCCGCCCTCCACTTTCTTCTACCTCAGGCGTGTCCTGCAGAGCCCTCTGGAGAACCAGCTTCAGGGTCTTCCAATTTTGACGCTGCCTAAAGGAGCCTACGAAGAAGTAAATGATGGGGTTGGCACTGCTGTTAAGAGAGGACAGGAACGTGAAAACTGGACGAACATGACAATATAACACAACCAAATCCACAGGGATCCAGAAAAATAGGTAAAACACAACGCCGAAGGGCAGGCCACAGAGGAGGAACACCAGCACTGTGAGCAGGATGGTCACGTACAGCCTGGTCAGCGGCATCTTCCGGGATCCACAGAGGATCCTGACCAGCAGGACCAGGCTGGACCCACAGAGAACCACAAATAAAAAAATCAGCCACGCGACTGTGATGAAATCTGATATTTGACACAAAACAAAATCAGCATCGCTAAACAGGAAGCCACAGAACATCCACTCCAGGATGCTCCTCAGCAGGGACAGGGCCCAGAGCAGGGCGCACACCACCGCCGACAGGTGTGCGGGGCGGCGGCAGCGGTACCAGACGGGCCACAGGACCGACACGCAGCGCTCGGTGCTGATGGCGCTCAGCATGCTCAGGCCTGCAAAGTAGGAAAGCATTATCATAGGATAGAGGAATTTAGAAATGGGATGAATGATATTAATGAAGTTTAACAGGGATTGTATAACGTGGCTGCTGAGGAAGAGGAAGTCGGCCGCAGCCAGGTTGAGGATGTAGGTGGAGAAGGCGTTCCTGCGCACGCGGAAGCCCAGGAGCCAGAGCACAAGCGCGTTTCCTTTCAGTCCGACGAGGGAGATGATCCACAACAGCACCACCGCGAGGATCCGGGTCTGCTCGTTGCAAGAAGGCTTCTTAGGTCCATTGATTGGTGTCAATTCTGTACCCAAGGCTGGGATGGTTGGATCCATGCTCAGAAACCCCAGTCTGGTGCCCCTGGGAACACAAACAAGATGTGATAAGCAGCTGTATGATCTCTGATTCTCCCCTCCACCCTGCCATGTGGGATTTACTGTCCTCACTTTAAAGAGAGAGAAACAGAGGCTTGCAGAGAATGCTCACATATTGAAAGCTGGGGGTCCTCAAATCCAGTTTGAAATCCAGTTATTAGTGATTCTAAAGTCTGACCTCTCTATGGCCACACAAGCTCTATACTGATATGGGAATAACGTTATGATCAAAACACCCCCACTCACCTGGCCAGGGCTGTGGGCCTGATCATTATATTGGGCCTGAAATTTTCTCTTAGGTGGAGGAATTCAGATACACAAAGATGTGGTTGTGACACCCTCATGACTAGAACTGCTCATCCATGGACAGGAAAGAAGACCATGCATTATGAACCAGAGAAGAATGGGACTTCACTAGGATAAGTGTGAAAATGGCTGGGCCTGGTGGGTGAGAAATAACTCAGTGTGTCTATCATTGCAGACAGAACCACATTTTACATTTTATACTCCCAGTGCCTATTTTTATGAGCAGCATACTGTGCTCTTTATAAATATTCATTAATGAATGAATGCATGCATGAGGAGCCTAATGGTAACAGTAGATTTGGGTGAAATGGAAAATAAAAATAGAAGCACAACGTATGGCATTAGAACACACAGGTGTAATTAAATACAGAAAATTTCATTCATCAGAATTCTATTTGTGGACAGCTCTATCTGTGTAAAAAAGAAGTATTGAAGTGTGTCCAAAACCTGAAATTGACCACTGATGTGCCTTTGAAATGAGGACTCAATGTGGTTTTGCTGAACCCCTAGAAGCATTTTTGTACACAATGTTTAGATGGAGTGTGGGTCTGATCTGAATGCTCAGCAATATAGCAGAGGAAAGAGTAAATGCGGGTGAAGTCTGAGTGCCACTGAAGGAGGTAATTGAAGTGTGGGAATATCTACAGGGCACTACTAAGTGTTCTGCTGGATACACACAATGTAAATCTATTTCATTCTTTCTTTCAGGAGCTTGTCAGTTTGTTTCTTTGTTGATGCAAACATTTGTACAAGAAGAGTCCATGAGGAGAAATAGGAGATGGTATCCGACTTGGAATATAAAGAGAGATATTCATGTAGATTTCAACTAGAGAATGAAGACTAGGTCTTATCTGGGAGAATAACAGAAGCTGATTGAGAGTTTATATGGTATTGTCTCTTTTAATCATCTGAAGAGCCTAGGAGGTAAGAATGAGTATAATTCCCATATGGCAGATAATGCATTGGAGCACAAAAAGAGTCAATTATTCGTTCTGGGGCTGATATAGTATGAATTTGAGCCCAGCAGGGCTGACTCCAGCCTTGGAATAGCCCTCTAAACCCAGCACCACTTTGTGCCAATTATACATGTTAGAAAGGGTAGAGCAGAGGAGTGATTCTCCAGTTAAATTCAAGTTGGCAGTCAAAATTGTGGATTGAAAAAAAAACTAACCTAAATAATCTTCAGACAGAGAAAGAGAAGCAAGTCAAGTTGGGAACAAAATAGAGGTGAGTGAACACCATTTAGGAATAAATTCAGGGTTTCTTTTTGCCTATCAGAGGCCACGTTTTCTCGGGAATCCTGAGGATGCACAGGGGCAGAAGGACTCCAGGTGGTAAGAAGACACGCCCTCCTCTGGGAGTACAGAGGAGCATCAGGAGTGAATGCATCCACCATGAACTCTCTTAGAGACACAAACTGCCACAGCCCTGATTGGCCCGAAAAGAAAATGGGAGGAAAAGGAGAATCCCCGTTATCCACATTCAGGGCATTAAACACTTTGTCCATCTAAATGTAGGGTATGATATGTTTTTCTTCCTCATGAAACCTGAAACTTCATAATCACTAAGTCATGCCTCTCTTTTCACTGTGGTATCACCAAATTTTGGCATATGTTTCTTAAAGACCATCTATGGTATTATCTTCATACAACATAAGATGAAGCCAACGCCTGGAGAGTTAAAGGGTTTTCCTGAGATCACAACACAAACAGAAGGTCCAATACCAGCTCCTGGTCCCTGGAGCCCTGCATGAGACTTCTGTACTGTTCTCTGTCCCATCGTTCATTATTTTTGAGAGTTCCTAAAATAACTTGATGAAGAGACTGCTACGTTGCCCCAGTATTCATTTTCCTCTTTGGTCACATAACAATTCTGAGAGTTCAAAATCAGCACAAGGACCCACATGCCAGTTTTCCTTGATGCTGAAAGACATTGTATGACCAGGTGCTGTTCAATGGAACATGCACAAACGTGATGTAAGCAAGTCATGGCTCATAGGATCAATAGAAGGAGCAAAGCCTCTCCTTTCCTTCAACCTTTTCCATCACACTGGAATACTGATGTGGCTGGGAACCATGTAGGATCACAAGGATGAGGGCAACTCTCTAGGCACTGGGGAGTAGCAGTTTTTGGAATTCTGATGTATGATGCCTTGGAACTCCCAGCACAGATCTCAAACAGTCAGTCATTTCTGGGTGTTTACATAGGCTTGTTTCTGGGACCCCAGCCCACACCAAAATGTACAGATGCTCAATTACCTTATACAGGACGATGTGATATTTGAATACAATACGAAATACTCAGTTTCTAGAGGGAAACTTCATTTGTATACAATATCACATTGTCTTGTACAAGGTAATTGAGCATCTATAGATTTTGGTGTGTGCTGGAGTTCTGGGAAACAATCCCCTATTCATACAATCTATGTACTTTCTCCCAGATACATTAAATGATTACTAAGTTACTTAGAATAACTGGCAAAATGCAAATACTATTTAAGTTCTTGTTTTACTGTATTTTTTCAGAAGTAATGACAGGGAAAAAAGAGTGTGTACCTGTTTAGCACGTACACAACTCTGCCATACCCTTATGAAAATACTTTTCACCTGTGGTTTGTTGAATCTACAGATTCAGAACCTAGTGACCCAGAGGCACAACTGTAGTTTCTTGCTAAAATATTTCTACTTTGTGTCTTTATGAGAGCAGCTAAACTTATATCCTTAACAAAAGAAATATGTTCTCTAAAGTAGTCTGAGAGAGCTGAAATGAGACTGGAATCAATCACCTTTAGACAGAGAATGCCCCAGGAATTAGGAGGATATAAGAAGGTGAGAGGGATAGCTTCATTTGCTGTGAGGATTTGCTTTCCATTCTTCTCTACCCTATTTGACATCCCAAGAGGGTGACCTCTATGTACCACATCAGTGGAATTCTTTCTAATTCTAGCGTCTGGTGGAATTGAGACACTGGGACGCACCAGCAGGAGAGTGACATGGGATTTCCACCTCCTGGCTCTCTGCATGTGTATTAGTTCATTCTTGAATTGCTATAAAGAAATACCTGAGACTGGGAAATTCATGAAGAAAGCAGGTTTAATTGGCTCATGGCTCTGCAGGCTGTACAGGAAGCATAACAGCTTCTGCTTCTGGGGAGGCCTCAGGAAGCTTCCCATTGTCATGAAAGGCAAAGAGGGAGTGAGGCATCTCATATGGTGAGAGCAAGAGCAACACAGAGAGGGAAGAGGTGCTTCACGCTGTTAAAAAACTGGATTCCATGAAAAGTCACTCACTATCATTACAGCAATACCAAAGGGGGATGGTGTTAAGTCATTCATGAGAAACCATCCCGCTGAACTAACTACCTCTCACCGGGCCCTCCCTCCAACAATGGGAATTACAATCAACATGAGATTTGGGTGGGGACACAGATCCAAACCATATCAGCCTGTGTGGCTGTGTGTTGGCCATGCAGGGCTTCTCTACCTGCCTGCTTCCATTCTCTCACCTCTATGTCTATACCTATGGCTATGGTGTCAATGGTAACTGCTCCTTCCTGTCCCTTTCAGCCTAGGAGAGGAAGTAATGCTCCCCTAGGTATTGCTGCTTAGGGTGATGAGCCAGGCATTGTCTCTTTCCCTTAACCCAGCACATCTTTGTAAATAATTCCCTCATGAAACACTCCTCAGTCATCTCAGTTTGTACCATCTATTTCTTCCTTGAACCTTTTCAGACAGGCATGGAAGAATAATTTAGAAAAGTAAGTAAAACAACAAAACCTGCTTCTACAGCAGTTCAACTCTGGGAAGTAATGCCTGCATGTCCATTTCTCTTTAAATGAATGTTAAGAGGCAGCATTCTCTCCATGAGGACAGATTCAGTGATTGGAATAAAGGAAGTGATATGGAGAGATTAATCAGAAGCGGGGACCCAACTCCAATTGCAGCTCACACAGTCTGGCTTGGCAGTACTGTTTCCGGAAGGAAACTTCATGTCTCCTGTGTTTTCCTGAAACAAGCTCATGATCCCCTGCCTGTAGCACCTAGGTGGAAACACAGAAATGATCCTATAGCAAAAACCATAACTGACTATGGAAAAGACAGTTCTTGGTACTTACTCTTATCTTTTTTCTTTTGTCCAGAGGTGAAGATTTCCCTTGTGCTAAAGGTGGAGAGCCTTTCTGGGATTCTGTGTCTTCAGAGGATCCTTCTGTGTTGCTTAATTCAGGAGATGCCTCCAGGAGCTGGAATGAAAGCTGGTGAACAATCCAGGCTTATGAAGATGCTGGAAAGCCTTGTTATTTCCTGTATGAGGAGTATGGACAAATCAGTGGTGAGAGATATTTGAGACATAAACCCTATTTGAGATGATTCTTGGCCTCTCTCCCATATTCAATTCATATAAGCCTCTCCCATTGCATTCCATGTTGTTCAACTTCCTTGAGAAAAACAGTGGCACAGTTTGAGAGGATTGATTCCCATTTTAAAAGAAGTTCTACTGTGTATAAAATGCTATCAAACAGCATTGCTTGCTACATTAAAATCTTTCATAAAAGAATTAGTCAATTGACGTGGCAAACTTCATTGTTGTCTTGTTTTAAGATACTGGCGCAACCTGCCTCACCTTCAGCAGCCACCACCATGATTAGTCAGCAGTCATCAAAATCAGGCAAGAGCCTCCAGCAGCAAAATGTTTGGCTTGGTAAAGGTTCTGATGATGGTTACCATTTCCTAGTAAAAAGGTATTTTTAAGTAATGCATGTAGATTGCTTTAGACATAATGCCATTGCACACTCAGTAGACTACAGTATAGTGCAAGCATAACTTTTGAAAGTATTGGGACCAGAAATTCATGTGATTCACTTTATTGTAATATTTGTTTTATTGCAGTGGTAGAAGCAGACTTGCAATATCTTCAGTGTATGCCTATATATGATAAAGATTGTAAATTATAGTATTGTGTAAAATAGGCACTATTGAATGAATGGGATTGGGACAACGGAATTGCCGTGTGAATCATATTTTACATATGATTTGAGGATAAATCCAAATACACTGCTTAAAAT